GCCTTTAAAATATGTTCGGGAAATATTTTACACTCTTGGCTCGCCCACCATCCCACAAAATTGGCCAAAATTCAAAATACATAATAGCATATTATAAAATCTAAGAAGTACTACAGGAAGTTTAACTTTGTTTCTAAGCTTATTTATTCAATGAATCCTTTTAGAGGATTTATATTAGCATCCTGTACAATTGCAGCCCTTTGTGGATTTTCCGCTACGTAGCTTCCAACTCCTAGAATGCATCAGACTGTTTTGTCTGTTCTGTTATGTTGTTTTCTCACTTTTGAATTGCCAAATACTCTCCCTCATCTCTTTCCGCTTTACATAAGCGCACACACAAGCACACACTGTCCAGGACAAATAGTAACTTCCCTTTCCTGCTTTTGTGTGAGCTTACAACTCTTTTATGAAGCCTACTCTGATTCCCCACCCTCCTAAACTACTTTTTCCTTTAGTGCCCTCACCATGGCCTGGTAACGTCTTTATCAGCACATCCAATTTAGTTAATCCCAGATATGAAATCACATGTCTATTGTCCTGATTAGTTCTTCGCTCCCCAAAGGCACAGGCTGTATCATTTTATCCTTCTAGGCCCAGTTTGTACCCCTCTTCCTCACACAGAGAAGGCTGGCCTTCATCAATAGAACGGACCTGTTGGGCCTTCTGAAGTTAAGGCATAAGAAGCCTTGAAAGCATCTGCCTGGTTCTCTAGGAACTCTTGCTTGTGGGATACTCCCTCTCAAAACCCACCCAGCAGCTGTGAGAAGCCCCAGGCACATAAAGAAGCCACTTGTAGGTATTCTGGTTGAGAACTGCAACTGAGCTCCAAGCTGACAGCCAGCACCACCGGCAGCCATGGAGTGAGCCACCCTGGACGTCCAGCCCCGTCAGGCCTTCAGATGACCACATCCCCAGCCTCCACCTGACTGCTTTCCCTGAGGGACTCCACGTGAGAACCATCCAGCGGAGACCCGTCAGCCCACAGAACGAAGAAAGGAGAAAATAAATTGTTACATTAGCCCACTAATTTGGGTGGTAATCTGTTACACAGTTATAGACACCTGAAACAGTCTCCTTATTCCCACCTTAACACGTAAATTGTAAGCAAACCTGATTTAAACTTGTCCTTTCTGGGCACCCCGGCTGTTCTTAATGAAGGAACTTGGAATATGAATCACATTCCTTGTCATTCAAAAAGTCCTGTACGCTCTTACATTTGCCGGTGAATAGTAATCTCCTTTTATCCAGTCGCTAGACTCCCCACAGAAAGGCCAGCCCCCTCCCTTTTCTCCGGTATGTCTCATCCTACTAGAAGAGCAGGGTGTCTTTTTAGAAACCTCATTCTGTAAATATCGTCTACCCTTGAGCATTATCAAAATGTGCTCCATGAGCCGGTGCCTGGTGTGTTTAAGTTGGTGGGACACGTTATCCTTCGGTTGCAGCCCACAGAACACAACAATGTGCTTTCAATTAGCTCATTTTAAGACTCCTACGTGACACATTCTTGCTTGGGGATCACCCAAAATGCTCCAAGTATTTCCTGATCTGTAGTCATTTGTGTACCTGCCTTCCTTCCCTAAGTGTGTGAGCCCCCTGGGGGCTGGACATGTGCTATGTGTTCCTGTATTGTGCTGTTTACAGAGCTCTTCCCTACCATGACGGCTTTCAGTTTTCAGGGCCGTTTGGTTTTCAGTGATGTGATAGTTTAATCCCCAGAGGTTCGCCTTATTTTCCTAAAGCGCAAGTAATCGGTGGGGCAGGGTGTCCTGCTCACTGCTCCCTACCCGGTACCACCCGCAACAGTCGCGAGTCTCAGCGTAGGGAAAGGGGTCATTGCAGGATTTAGGATCTGAAGAATCAGCTCTGGGGCTTCCTGGATGTGTCTCTGTGCAGCTGGCATGATTCCCCTGAAGCTCAATTCCCTCATCTGAAAATAGGCACCCCTAACCCTAACCCATGTCCTTGGGAATAGCAGGTGAGATAAAGGATACGAAAGATTTGGGACACTCACTAGATTACCTCTAAGGTACCTCTCCACTGAGGCTTTAAGACAGGGCTTCTCAGTGAGAACTGGGAGGTAGAGTTGGAAGTCAAAAGAACCTCAAACTCACTCTGACGTTCTTTACTTTTCTGCTAAATTCGGAGGGCGGGGGCATATCCGATTTATTGTGAGCTCCCCTCCCACACAGTGCCCAAGTCATCTGGGAAACCCAAAAGGGATTACAGTCCTTCAGGGAAATGGGTTAAGACCCAGGACAATTGGATATATTGGAACAGAAGCTTTGGGAATAAAAGAGTAACCTCCATACGATTGATCACTTTGTCTGCATTCAACACATTCCCTGATTTATCCAATCTGTCCACCAGGGACAACCACCACCAGTTGGGGAAATCGATCATTAGGTTCAAAATACAAGATTCAGCACACAAGGGACTTCCCTGGCAGTCCAGTGGTTAAGACTTTGCCTTCTAATGCAGGGGGTGAGGGTTCAATCCCTGGTCAGGGAGCTAAGATACCACATGCCTCATGGCCAAAAAACCAAAACATAAAACAGAAGCAGGGCTTCCCTGGTGGTGCAGTGGTTGAGAATCTGCCTGCTAATGCAGGGGACACGGGTTCGAGCCCTGGTCTGGGAGGATCCCACGTGCCGCGGAGCAACTAGGCCCGTGAGCCACAACTACTGAGCCTGCGCGTCTGGCACCTGTGCTCTGCAACAAGAGAGGCCCGCGCACCGCGATGAAGAGTGGCCCCCGCTTGCCACAACTAGAGAAAGCCCTTGCACAGAAATGAAGACACAGCACAGCAAAAATAAATTAATTAATTAATAAACTCCTACCCCCAACGTCTTAAAAAAAAAACAAAACAGAAGCAATTTTGTAACAAATTCAATAAAGACTTTAAAAATGGTCTACATCAAAAAAAACTTTAAAAAAAAGATTCAACACATGAAAAATCTGTAAATAACCAGTTATTAAAGAATGATTATTACTACATCCATTAAAAATGTGTGGCTCATACTTAATAAAACTAACTCTGTTGCTTTTCTCCACTGGGCTTTGTTCTGCCTGTTGGTGACACTTGGTCAAGTTCCCACCTTCCCAGATACCAGCTCTTTAGATATTTGGAGTCAGTGACTATGCCCGCTCTCTTTTGCAGCCCAAACACCTCACTTCCTTGATCTGCTCCTCATGCAGTTGTTTCCAGTCTTGCTGCTATCCTGGAGTCCCTTCTTTGGGGGTAGTTATATCTATTTCTGTCAATCTTAGAGCACATCTTCTTTAGCACCTTTTATCCAAGAAAAAAAAAAATTGTTGCATGGATGAATCCAGAGAGTACTCTTAGAAGCCATGGCTTGCAGAGAACCATGGGATGAACATACCTGAACCTTGGTGAGATTTTCTAGGTGTTTCTACATCTCAGGAGAGACACCATATTTCATCTCTGGTTTGACCCAAAAGCCCATGTGAGAAAGTTTACTTGAAGCCAGAACCACCTTAAGCTAACAGGGCTGACACAAGCTTTACAGAGACAGACCTAGACCTCTTGCTTGGATGGTAGCAGCACTGAATGGAAGACCAGAGGGAAGGTGGACAGGGTTGGAGGAAAAGAGGAAAGAAAGAAGGGAGAGGAAAAGGAAGAAAGGAAGAAAGAGAGGGAGGAAAGAGATCCTATTTTTTTCTCAAGTGTCTTCCACATTTTGAAGACTCACAGGATGATTCTGAAGCTGGAGGTCTTTAAGTCATTCCGTTATTCACTGTACAGGCTTCTACTGATTGACTCTACTGAATCAAGTATTGCACTAATCATCAAGGATACAGAGATAAAAAATTCAATTCCTGCTCTAGGATCTCAACATCGGTATAGAAAATGCACAGGCAAATAGCATTATGGTAAATAAAATAGTAACCCACACACTAGTGGGCATGAAGCAATTACATGATACTGAACTGCTTCTGTTGCTTTAGACAGGGTTGAATGGTGTTATCCAAGAAGTGAGTCTCCTTTACCCTACCCCATCCTCAGACAGCCAGGGTCTCCCATAGTGGGGTCTCCCATAGCTTGGGGTCTGTTAGGAGACATTGCAAAGTTTGTGATACTTGCAGCCACCTCAGGCATAGGTAATGAGCGTGGGACAAACATACATCCTGGTTTACCCAGGACAGACTTCATTTACACCTGCTTTCCCAGTGTAATTCTTGATAGTGCACACTTTCACTCTCAAATACATCTCAATCTGGATGATAAATTATATGGTCACCCTAGTGATAAAACTTCAGGAGCCAGACGCCTGGGTTAAATTCCAGCTCTCTGCTTGTTAGCTACTCTCTTAGGAATCCCTTAGCTTCTATGTGTCTGTCTCCGCATCTACAAAGTGAGGCCAATATAACCTGCCTCACGTGGGTTGTCGTGAGGATTCAATGAGTTAAAATATGCAAAGCCTTAGAGCAGAGCGAGCGTACCTGCCCAGATGTAGAGCTCTTGCCCTCTCCTTGATTTCCATGGAACACAGAACGCCTAAGGTACACAGGCATTTCTGTGTCTGGTGGTTTTATTGAAGACCTGGGGAGTTGGGGTTAGACATCAGGGTGCAGAGGTGTAGAGCCCAGTGTTCCTTAGAGTCCCTGTCCCCTCCGCTGGCCCCATGACTGTTCCAGACTCCATTCATGGCTTCTTTCTTTCTCCGCCTCTCCGGTAATGTGATGCTAGGCTGAAGGGTCCTGCACCTGGCCAGGGAACAGCTTTCTGCTTTAAAGGGGAAGCCCTGGATTTTTCTGTGGTCCTGGGGAGAAATATTAAGAACTTCTCCTGTGTACCTCCTCAGGAGGGGTGCTGGAAAAAATACAGGACACCCAGTGAGTTTGAATTTCAGATGAACAACAAATTCCTTTTTTTTTATTATAAATAATCCCCCCAAATGTCATGGAGCATACTTACACTAAAAAGACACTTGTTGTTTATCTCAAATTAAAATTTAACTGGGCTTCCTATATTTTTACAGGTATACCTTGGGGAGATTGCAATTTTTGTTCCAGACCATCACAATAAAGTGAGTATCACAATAAAACGAGTCACATGAAGTTTTTGAATTCCTAGTGCAACTGAAAGTTATGTTTACACGATAGTGTAGTCTATTAGGCATGCAATAGCTTTATGGCTAAAAAACAATGTATATACCTTGATTAAAAAATACTTTATGGCTAAAAAATGCTAACCATTATCTGAGCCTTCAGGAGTTGGTAGTCCTTTTGCTGGTGGACAGTCTTGCAATATTTCAAACTCTCCACCAGGTGCCCACACTCATAAGAATATCAATAACTTTCCAAGTGCAAGGGTCTTATTTCATTTCTTAAGCAACCACATGGCATTTTTATACTGAGAACTGTCTGCCCCTCCCCTCCACGGCCTCATGTCATGCCAATGTCTCAGCAAGGTCTTGAAATCTTGAAAGGTCAGAGCCCTCCAATCTGTGCTGATTTGGGTCACCATTTCCTTGAGATTTCCTTTGCCTCTTCTTTGATTAAAGCTGTGTTTGCCTCGCCTCCCGCTTTTTAAGCAATTACACTAATTAAGCTAATTTTTCTTTGTTCTCTCTTTGCAATTTGCATAAATGGCAAATTTATATATAGTGTCCTTAATTCTCCTTTAACTGCTCTGTAATTAACAGGATGCTCAGGCTAAATATAAATAAGTGCAGAAGGAAAAACAGCCTTCTGCTGAAATACCGATAAAGGCTGGGAGAAAAGAAAAGCAGAGAGGAGAAAACAGTTCTAAGCCCTGCTCTAAACTCATTATGCCTGATTGGGTCACAATTGGAGGAGACTAGCTAAGGGTCAGCGGCTGCAAGAGCGTCTTTCTGAGAGCCCTGCCACCTGGAGCAATTTCAGGATAGAATTCGGGCTATTTGCTTGCAGTAATAATACTGCCCCATTTTTCAAGGGAGTAGAGCAGCTTGGCATGAGGGAGACAGTGGTATGACAGTCAGTGGGGCTCAGTCTGAGGCCCTGCTCTAATTCCGACCAGTTGAGTCACCTTGGGCTAAGGAACAACAAAACCCAATACCTGGGCTTCAGGTGCTTTCCAGGCAACACGTACTATAACACTCAGTAACCCCATAATCCCATTATTTCCCAGATATAAAAATATTCCCACGATGGAGACGTGCTTAAAATATACTCCTAAATCAAGACGAAGTCTTCCTTCTACAAATGCACACTCATATATTGACACAGGGCTTATGCGATAGTCCTTTGGGAATCAGCTTGGTGTAGTGATTAAAACGGCGGTTCTTGGGGGCTGGTCTCGATTCTACCTCTAGCTTTAGCTCCGTGACCTTGGAAAAATTGCTCAACGTGTCCAAGTCCAAGTTCTCTTTTCTGCGGAGTGGCGTACAACACACTTGTGAGGCTGTTGGCAAGATTACAGAAGCAGCATTAAAGTATCAATACTTAGCACCGTGCCTGATGCCAGCAAGCCCTCAATACCGTTGAGCGTTCATATTTGTCAGGTCACATGTTTCAGTTGGCATTGGTTTCAGGTGAACATCATTGGTTTCAGAAATTGGTTTCAGAAATATGGTTTCAGAAATACGGGGTCTCAAGACCTAGAAACTTGGGTGGTCCAACCAAGGAACCATGGGAAGACCTGTCTAAGAACAGAACTGTCCTCTCCTCCAAATCTTGGAGCTGTGATCATAGTCATTGTAACAATATCAATGCCTCATTTGTGTGTATATTTCCTGAAAAGTCTACAGAGTCCACTCTGTGACAGGGCACACAGAGGGATGAATGAGACAGTCCTCAAGGTGGGGAGATAGACAGGTTTTAAACAGTCAATTCCGAAAGGGTGAGCGAGAGCCGTGCTGGTCTCACGTGTTGGGGAGTCAGGGTCCCTGCGGGGACCAGAGGATCCAAAGAAGGTTGTGTTCATACCATGTGTTCACACCATTTCTATGTGGGGAAATCGCTTAGGACTTCTCTTCCCCCAATTTTTTATCTGTGTTTTTTTAAAATTGATGTTTTGTATACAAGTATACCCTACTTTTCGAGAGTTCGCTTTATGGCACTTTGTTATTAAGGAAAACTCACATTAGTACCTGTCTTTGATAACCAAAAGAAATCAAAAATAGCATTCAGCGTTTGCTTTGCAGTAGCCATTATAGAGGGAGTGAGCACCCAGAGAAGTGAGAGCTGCTTCCCTGGGAACCACACTCAGCATCTCAGCATGGAGCCACCATAGCTATGAACTGTGTCTATGAGCATCTGTGCTTTATCTTCATTTATTTTGTGCATCCATGAGCAAGATGTGTCCTAAGGTAATTGCTTCTTTGCTTTGCACCACTTTGGCTTACAAAAGGTTTCTGCTAGTGGGGGATACCTGTGTTGTTATATTATATATTAGAATATGCATATAATTTGTAAATAAGTAATACATATGCAGAGGAGTGTGTGCTCAAAAGGTTTTTACTGAGATCAAAGGATACAATGGAGAATCAGCAAAGGGAAGATCAGAGAAAAGAGGGTTAAGTGAGGAAGGTTTCCTGGAAGAGAAGCTTGGAAGCTGTAAGCTCCATGAAGATAGGGGCTGCTTCTCTCCTGTCCCTTGTTACGTCTGCAGCATATAGAAGAATGTCTGGCACACAGGGACACTCAGGATCTGCTGAATGAGTGGGTGAGGTAAGGGGGTAGGAGGGGAGAGGAGATGCCCCCTGAATTGCCCATGAATTATGGACTGAATGCTTGTGTTCCCCCAACTTTATAAGTTGAAGCCCTAACCCCCAAGGTGGTGCTATTTGGAGGTGGGACCTTAGACAGGTAATTGGGTTAGGTGAGGTCATGAGGAGGGGACCCCCACAATGAGATTAGTGCCCTTGTAAGAAGAGAAAGAGGCAGCAGAGCTCACACTCTGTCTCTCTACACTGAGGGAAGGCCACGTGAGGACACAATGAGCAGGTGGCTGTCTGAACTCCAGGAAGAGGGTCCTCACCTGAACCCGACCATGTTGGTGGCACCCTGATCTCACAACCTCCAGATCTGTGTTTAACTCACCCACTCTATTGTATTTTGTTATGGCAGCTGAGCTGACTAAGAAACCATGGTTACACAACCTGTAACATGGTCATGACCTGTGTGATTTCTGAAATCAGAGAAGGAAGAGACATGTCCCAGGAGGGGGAAGGTCATGGGCTAAAGTGCATAGGCTGGAGACCGCCCGTGTGTTTGGGGGGCCACAGCAGCTTCCATAAAGTGGGAGGCAAGAATGAGGGTGATGACATGGACAGCTCCACTCTGACTTGGGCTAGAATCCCACCTTGGCTTTTAGCAAGAGACTTGGGCTCTCTAAAAATCATAATAATGTCTGGTTGCTCAGTAAAATGGGATTAATAGTAGTTCATGGTGTATTTATGAGAAACAAGATAATGTATGTAAAGTGCCCTCTGTGCCCAGCATGGTGTTTGGCACAAGAAAGTCTCCCAATAAACCCTATTGGGACTTCCTTGGTGGTCCAGTGGCTAAGAATCCGCCTTCCAATGCAAGGGACATGGGTTCGATCCCTGGTTGGGGAAATAAGATCCCACATGTCACGGGGCAACTAAGCCCACGTGGTGCAACTAGAGAGAAGCTTGCGCGCTGCAACAAAGAGCCCACATGCCTCAAAGAAGATCCCGTGCGCCACAACTAAGACCCGATGCAGCCAAATAAATAAATAAATATTTTTTAAAAAACAACTTTATTGATTGGCTGAGGCCCCTTTAATCAGATGGTCAGCAGGCCATCGTTTAGAAGACTAGAATCATGGCTGGCATCAGTTAGCAGAAATTGTTCTCCATGAGCGGATGTTTCCAAGGATCATTGAGAGTCTCAGAGATACTTCCTTATTTTCTGCCTGCTAGAATTCAAAGATCCCTTGTTTCAACATTACATCACTGGGGAAGTACTCAAAGACTCAATTATAAAAAATAAAAAAATTTTTAAATCCCAAAAGAGTTTTTTCATTTTGGTTGGGAGAAATATTTTCAATAATTTGGGGGGATGGGGGGAATCTCTTCTACCAAGTTGTTTTGTGATAAATATTTTAATGGTGTCAGGAGGGAAATGCCTTTTCTGCTGAATGTAGCTCATTACAGGCCCCTCAAAGGAAGCCTTTGTTAGCATCCCCCGTAGCTGATGAGTGCTACTTTAGCATGATGTGAGGGAAAGAATACAGATTTTGTCTGAATTCCAGGCCTATTTCAAATCCTGGTCATCCTTTGTGTGACCTTGAAAAAGTCAGTTAAACTCTTAGTTCAGTTTCTTCTTCTGTAAATGAGACTAGAAATACTTCCTACATAGTTTTGTTGAGAAGGTAAGATAGGATAATGTATGCAAAGCTTCTACAGAGTAAGTGGTCACTAAATGTTATTTCTCTCATTGGAGTAAAAGTTTGATTGTTTAGGATCCCAATTTACGCAATAGTTTTCTCAAAAGGCCAGCTAATCCCAAGAGACACCCAAGGAAATACCTCTTGATATTTGGTTCAGTATCATAACCATCACTTTTCCCTGTTAAGAGATGAAGTACTCACACTGTATTAGACAGCTTTGCCGAGTGACAAACGACCCCCGAATCTCAGCTGCAGATGTTGATTTCTGGATCGTGTCCTGTTGGAAGTTGAGGTTTGTTTGACTGGCTGTGTATCTATCCTTGAGACTGAGGAGAAGAGCAGGGAAGTCAAATCAGATGTTGGGGGAGATCATGGAGAGAACATGACCACCATACGCCCTGCAAGCTGGCACAGGGCAATTGGAGGCTCCTCACCCATCCCCTGTCCTTGGAATGTATTCTCTGTCCCCTGTTCCCACAGTGGAAGCTGTTCCAAAGAGAACATGAGCTGCCTTGGGAGAATATGTGTGGTTGACATCATCTGGATGGTGTACGTGACTGAACCCCGTTAAGGCCTCTCTATGAACACTTTTTTCCTTTTTTTAAAAAAAATTTATTTATTTTTATTTTTGGCTGCATTGGGCCTTCATTGCTGCATGTGAGCTTTCTCTAGTTGCGGTGAGAGGGG